TTCTTAGTGGTCCCCGAATGGTTATAGGCTACTTTTTATTTAATAAAAAAATTAATTTAAAAAAAAAATAAAGAAATTGTTTAGCCAATAATACCTCTGCATCTGGCTATTTGACTACTTTAACGCCATCTAGCATTCCAGCAATGAAGCTCAAACCTAAGTACTATAGTACCATCACACTGTATTATCACACTGTATTACCGACAGCTACGTCAACATCAAATCCAATTGACTACACTATGGAGACTGTACACTATACTTCCATAGACTATACTTTCAGCCATTTTAAACTTCCCGCCATTCTACTTCATTGTTACTTCCTCTGTGACTACAGACGCGTACTTAAGCAACTTCATTATTTTAGATATTCGCGAGCGAAGCCAAGGTTAAAGCCAGTATTTACATAATTCAACACGAGATATGACACAACAGGGAGTTTCTTATTGCTTTAAACTAAAATTAAGGAGTGGTTGAAAATCTTATTGACATATTCGGTACATAATAAATCTAAGAAACAAAAAACGCAATTAGTTTGGTTTCTTTTTATTCAAATCTTCGCCGACAAACTCATGAGGCAAATAATAATAAAATAATATAAAATTAAACTATGTATGTATGTTACTTACAAACTCAGAAATGGCTGGACCGATTTTGATCAGATTATCAGCTAATCATCAGATTAACGTAGTGAGGGATTTTGTGAAGTTTGGTAGCAAAATTATAATATGAAGGGTGTAAAATTAGGGTTAAGAGAGGGTTAAGTGCTTATTTATATTTATAGTTACATAATTCAAACTTAGGTGGCGTTAACAGGCATAATTTGTATAAAATTCTCATAGACACCCATCCAAAACAATTTGTATGCCCAATAATTAAGGTAATTCAATCAAATCAAATTATTTCCATGCAAAACCGGATTATTGAAAATTGTTGAGGTTCATATTCAGCCAATGCTATTTATTGTTTACTGACTATAATGTAATCTACACCGTTATTTAGAACATGCTTACTTAACACTAATTTAGTTCCAATAAAGCAAACATAAACGCAAAGTTTGGATGAAATTTAAGCTGATGATGTTTTGAATATATAGACTCATGCATAAATTTAGAACAATTTGGAAAATTTTCATCAAAACTTCCAATTTTACACGTTTTATTAAATTAAATTTACTTGTATGAAACATTCACGCTAAAAATATATTTTCACCGTCTTCTACAGTCATCATAAGCCGTATAAAACGCAAAATATGTTTCATATTGTTTGCAGCACTCTTACCGTACACCCTCTTTATTCCTAAATAATACTTGATTTCGACGTTGTTAACCAACACCGTTGCCAGCCCACAATACCTAACAATACCTTTGTTTTATGGTGTATAATACATTCAATTTTTTCATATTACGTAATAATGTGGCATTATTATATAAACTTGAAAAATCTTGTTCAGAGTTGAAATTTATTACATACCTCTTTTGATATTCATATCACTTGCCATTGTATACATGCAAAACTATGCGAATATATCAAATAGTGCGTGCGGATCATACTGATGAACTTCATATGTCCTCACTATAAATGTATAAATAATTCATATAAGGAAATGAAAGTTATGCTAAAATTTCCTGTATATTTAAGTTTTATTAAATTATAAAAGCAATGGTGCAACAAACATTTTCCTCCTAAAAGCCCATACTTTGCAAATTACTTTATTTGCGTTTCATTAATTTCAAATCAATCATAGCTCATAGACACCCATCCAAAACAATTTGTATGCCCAATAATTAAGGTAATTCAATCAAATCAAATTATTTCCATGCAAAACCGGATTATTGAAAATTGTTGAGGTTCATATTCAGCCAATGCTATTTATTGTTTACTGACTATAATGTAATCTACACCGTTATTTAGAACATGCTTACTTAACACTAATTTAGTTCCAATAAAGCAAACATAAACGCAAAGTTTGGATGAAATTTAAGCTGATGATGTTTTGAATATATAGACTCATGCATAAATTTAGAACAATTTGGAAAATTTTCATCAAAACATCCGATTTTACAAGTTTTATTAAATTAAATTTACTTGTATGAAACATACACGCTAAAAATATATTTTCACCGTCTTCTACAGTCATCATAAGCCGTATAAAACGCAAAATATGTTTCATATTGTTTGCAGCACTCTTACCGTACACCCTCTTTATTCCTAAATAATACTTGATTTCGACGTTGTTAACCAACACCGTTGCCAGCCCACAATACCTAACAATACCTTTGTTTTATGGTGTATAATACATTCAATTTTTTCATATTACGTAATAATGTGGCATTATTATATAAACTTGAAAAATCTTGTTCAGAGTTGAAATTTATTACATACCTCTTTTGATATTCATATCACTTGCCATTGTATATATGCAAAACTATGCGAATATATCAAAAAGTGCGTGCGGATCATACTGATGAACTTCATATGTCCTCACTATAAACGTATAAATAATTCATATAAGGAAATGAAAGTTATGCAAAAATTTCCTGTATATTTAAGTTTTATTAAATTATAAAAGCAATGGTGCAACAAAAGTGTTCCTCCTAAAAACCCATACTTTGCAAATTACTTTATTTGCGCTTCATTAATTTCAAATCAATCATAGTTAATTTCTAATATAAATTCATATACAAAATGATAAAAATTCTATACTTGATTTAATCCTTTATTAAATTATTAAATTTCATATTTTGACGGTTTCATTAATTAATTTGATAATTGAATTTTGTTAAAGCCCTAAATTTACCACATCAACACTCGCCCTTTGGTCTTTAATCATTATTCATTTGGGATTGCATACTGTGCGTCGGTTAGGGTCGTAAGTTAATAAAGTATTTTATGTACGATAAATCCATTAGGCTGAAATATTTGGGCCGCTGCGTGAAGGTGTAATATAATATAAACTTTTTTAAGATTTCCCAATAAAATGTTAACCCAGAATCGGTTTATTGCAAGTTTATTGCATGTGTTATGAAATCTGGGAGTTTACAGCAAACGCACGTGTCGTTTTTCGTGAAAACTCTTTTACCTCATTTTCGTGATATTGCAATAGTTGCGAAATATCTTGTTAGCAAATTTGTAGAGTACGAATGTACAATGTACCATATCTGCGAGTTCACAGAATGTCACAAAATCATATATGCATACCAATAAGTAGTTAATAATTGTTATTCGCAACGTTGCATTCGGATTTTTAAATTGTAGGGGAAAGTAGCCATATTTGGACCATTTTTATATTTTTTGATTTATAGAGCCACATATAAACTGTCAATAAAAATTAAGTAGCGGAAAAGTAACTCACAAGGCTTACCCACAAAATGATATTTTTGGTTTAAGTAAAAATTATATTTATACCCCTCAAATTTCAATTTAAAAAAATTGTGTTTTTGGTCCAAATTAAGAAACCGGTTTCCTAAATTGGACCATGCTTTTTTAACGGCAATTGACACAATAGTAAATTTTAGTTTTAGCACTAACACAAGCACATTTTGTATAAACCAAAGTGCGGCATTTCATACAGTGGATCATTTCGAAGATTTGTGCTCGACCACAAGCTTTTCTAGGAGGTCGAAAAAATGATATACGTTTTCCCTATTAAAACCCCGGTGCCTGTCTTCGGTCCAACTTCGGCAACTTGAAGAATTTATATTTAATGATCAACGACAATCTTAATATAAATTATAGATAAATAAAGAAGCTTTCTGATGATAAAATAATAATCGGTAAAACTAACGTTTTAACGGCTTGACAGCTCTTGCACTTACGTCGTTATAATAGATTTGATAATCAATGATACACGAAGTTGTTGTCACGACGAAAGCACGCGGCAAGTTTTAACCCAAATAGTTGCATTAATTGTTTATAAATACGAGTAAAAGAAGGGGCCAGTCAATTTTTGCATAAACTTCAACAGTCCGCGGATATCGTGGTGGTCCAACTTAGGCGCTGGTCCAAATTATGCTACCTTCCCCTATGTACCTGCATTTCAGTTCAATATAAATACGAATAGCAATATATTTCACTAGCATTTCTTTGCGACTTTGCAAGAGTAGATTTTAATAAAAAGTATCTAACTAATTAATTTCTTGCTTCTTGCACCTATTACAGGCTGACTTCTTGAATAAAACTCTGAATTTTAATTTTTTAAATTAGAAATGAGAAATGCTAATGATCTACATATATTAGTACCACTTCGTCTTGAATTATGTAACTACGAGTAAAACAATGATTGAGTCTCTATAGCAACTTTCATACTTTATTTTATGTTCTTCAATTAATATTTTTGTAACTTAAAGTAGTCTGAGAGTAAAGAAATTAATTACTGAATTTATCTTAATAAGTTTAGCCGCAAAATTAATGTTAAAATAGGAACTAGTTTTATGCTTTTTAGTGAGACTTACAAACGTCAAATATATAAAAGAAAATTTGATACAACATTCATAACTCAAGAACGACTTGGCAGATTTGGATGATCTATGATTCATTTGATATTTCTCCGTCTCAAATAGCAGAATAAGTATTAGAATGTCAAAAATGATTATTAATTAAAGGGCCTTAAATAAAGATTGAAAATTTGGATACAAATTTACTCATAGTTATAGTTTAATAATTGAAGCAGAGATGGCACAAAAGTGCATAACTAGCGTTTTTCATTTCTTTAAAATAAAATTGCAGTTTATTGATGAAATCGATTAAATCTTGCACCAAAAAGTAAAAAATAATAACATTTTTACTAAAGACTGAAGTGTCAAAGTTACTCGCAATAGCAAGTAAATATAAATATTGATAGATAATATATTTAGTAATTTACGGTATTATTAATGTCGATAATCTAAAAATTCATAGCCAAACAGTAGATACATTCGTAAGTTTTCATAGTTATTATCACATTTATTGCCTCTCCCTCGGTCCATAAACATATCAAAAAGGTGATATTAATGTCATTACAGATCTCCGCCATCCAGCTTGTGATGAAACAAGTGGCATTGGTGCGAGCAATGGTGCGCAACGTTTTATTTCCCAACAACATGACGGTGTCGCCTACGATGTATTTCAACGTCACTCAGCGCCAGCAACAGAATCTCTCCGCCCCCGTTGATTGCATCTATGTGACGCGCAGCGAGTGCACAGACGGCTGGTTCGCCGATTTCGCAATCGAATACGGAAAGACATATCACGTTTATCTGGCGATCGTCGTTTGCTGCTTTGGCACCATTGCGAATATGTTGAATATTGCGGTGTTGACGCGCAAGGACATGGCGAGCGCACCTATCAACCGCATCTTGACCGGGATAGCCGTCGCCGACATGATGATCATGGTCGAGTATATACCGTTTGGATATTACTATTACGTAATACTTCCTGGAAAAATGAACTTTCCGTATTGGGGCGCTGTCTACATGCTGGCGCATATGCATTTTGCGCAGATTATGCACACGACGTCCATTTGCCTGACATTGACACTCGCTATATGGAGATATTTAGCTATTGGGTAAGTGACAATTAAAAATATTTTGTTGTAATTGAATTATTGACATAGGGGCCTCGGTAAAACATGTTTAATTAAAAATTAAATATTTAAACATGTTTTTATATATTCTAGAAATTGAATAATAATTTTCTCATGTCTTAAAGAATTCGTAAACAATATCAGACTTGAGCTAATCAACAGTCTCTTTGTACTTCTTTACGAACACGCACGTCGTATAGCGTATAATGTCGTTTCTAGAGTAATTTCTTGGAATGTCTTTATAAGCAACAACACAATGTTCTCACGCATGATTGCGAGACGGTTGTTTAAGATGTTGTTTTCCCTCTTAGTGCGGTGGAACAAGCTTTTGTCGAAACATGACACAACAAGAAGTAGATGACATTTAATATGTAATTACACTTGATACAAGTATATATATACATGAATACATTTTCAGTAAATATAAATGAGTGTGATAAATACGGAGAAAATTAATTTATAAATAAAATTAAAAACACTTGTGCAAAGTGAACAATTTAATTACTAACAGGATTCGATGTTTGTGTAAGCGACGGTGATGAGTTTGGTCTGAGGGCCTCGGGTCACCTGTTTTAATCAAATATTCTGTCACAGTCCTTGTTTGGTTGCTGTCCAGGTCATTTTGTAAACTGTTTATGAACAAACAGCCTCACGACAAGAGGTTAAGTATTTGACTAGTAAAAATATTACGAGATTTTGCTCTCTGTAACTTTTAAAAAGCAATAAATTATTATATTACTAGCGACCTGCCCCGGCTTCGCACGGAAGTAAAAAACCGCATCAAAATCCGTTGCGTAGTTTCAATGATTTAAGCATACAAAGAGACAGACAGAAAAAGCGACTTTCCTTCTCCAAACAAAAACATCAACCGGTCAACTTCAACCCACACATACACACATACACACGTCTATGCTTGGAGGGGGAAGCTACGAAGCATCGCACAAAGAGCAGACGGGAATAATCGAAAACTTTGTATTTACGACATCACATTAGAAACCTCAAAAATAACAGTACTTCTCCACTATTTAATGGATGTTATTATACATACAAACCTTCCTCTTGAATCACTCTATCTATTAAAAGAAACGGCATCAAAATCCGTTGCGTAGTTTCAAATATTTAAGCGAACAAAGGGACCGGAAAAAAAAGCGACTTTACTTTATACTATGTAGTGATTTTAAATTACAGTGTAACTTCTTCATAACGTGATTCGATATAATAACAAACGCTCTTTATCCGCGAAATTTGTACAACTTTGTTGGCAAAATACTTATATTCGGTTACTTTTCTATTCTTCGATGTAACGACCGCTCTCAATAGCGTGACAAAATGCTTGGTCCCTGGAGCGTCGTTATAACGAAATTACATTGTATTTCTGTATACTCGAAATAAACGGTGGAAATTCGTGAAATTCGCGTTGCAGCAACCACAACCTCAATGAATTCCTTTTCTTATTTTATTTTTGTATTAAAACGTTTTCTATCTAATCTAATTGTGCATCTAAACAAATTTTAAATACATTCTTGCACAAAAAATCCTCAAAATTAAAAAAAAAACTGTTTTTTTAACATATTTAAAGAATAATTTTGGCAAGAACATTTTACTGCGGTGTCCAAACAGTGAAGTATGAGTTAAGTATATTTTATGCTAATTTATAACAAATATAAAGTAATAATGATTAAATATAGGGACTAGAGAAATTAATTTGTTATTCCAAAATCCCTAAAAACCGATAAACATGTTATTTTAATTGGGTATTCTCAGAATTTAGATAACGTCCAATTTATTGGTATAATATTTATCATTACAATTGAAATCTTTGCAAAGAAATGTTTCAAATATCTTAACAGTATCATTATTTATTCAATGCTGCCCCATGTTCAGGTGATATATTACTATGTTACTAGGTACTATGCTAATCTATTCACTTTGACAGGGTAGTTTCAATTCAAATAAGATTCAATTCAAACGTCGATACGAGTGAAATATTAACTCCACATTCTCCCTTGTTCCAGCTATCCGAATCAAAGCCACATCTTGTGCTCAGAGGGACGCTGCACCTTGGGAATCGTGTTAAGTTATTTCCTCCCTGTGTTGCTTTGTTTCCCCACGTACTTCGCGTTCGAGATACAATCGACCACGGTCACCGAGGAAAACGAGAACTTCATCCTCCATCACGTCGGCCTCAGCGAATTAGCCAACAAACACAATTATTTCGTGATCAACTTCTGGCTCTATGCGGTGGTCATAAAACTCCTACCATGTTGTATACTAACCGTCATCAGCTGGTGGTTAATCAAAACACTCTTCGTCGCAAAGAAACGCAAGCAGGTTTTGCGAGGTTACAATGCGTGCATGATGACTGATGCTCCCACAACGGGTGGTCTCACTGGGGGAGCACCACCACGTGCAACAAAGGCAGAAAGACGTGCGGATCGTACAACGAAAATGCTCGTGGCCGTCGTCCTACTGTTTTTGCTCACCGAGTTTCCGCAGGGAATATTTGGCTTACTAATAGGTCTGAAAGGAAATTGCTTCTTCAATAATTGTTATCACAAGTTTGGAGAGATAATGGATCTGCTCGCGTTGCTCAATGGAAGCATCAATTTTATACTTTACTGTTGGATGAATCGAATGTTTCGCATTACCTTTGGGCAATTATTCAAGTCGAAGGTGTTGGCCAAATGGGTCCCGCCGGCAAACTCCGAAATTTACACGACGTACGTATAAATGTTACCTGTGTTGTTTCGTGACTAATCAAGGACGAATTTCAACTGCGACTGTGATATAATTATAAGAGGGTGGAGAAAAGCAGCTCATCAAAAACTTTTAATTCGAATTTATATCAAACTTCTGTGATACTTAAATATTCTTTTATTATTTATGTTAAGTCCTTGCTTGCATTTTTATTCCACAACAGAAAATGTTTTCTCTAGAAGCATAGAACGATAAACTTATTAAATGCACACTGCACTCTGCAAATTAGATAATTGTTTACCAACTGGGCAGTGCCGTCATAGTTAAGCTTATTATGCGTGTGTTTGGCGAAAATTCGAAATGGCATCTTGTCACGTTTTGTTTGCTTTGCTGCTTGCTTTACGTCGCTTGGCACGGTACGGTAGTTGAGATTTGATTAATCTCCACGGGTCTAGTTTATGTGATTAATCCACCACCAATGCTTACAAACGAGACCGCACACAACAAAAATCGGTGTTTCCGCTGAAATGTGATTGCGTTGTTTGCGATTCTGCTTAAACGTGTTCAAATTTCATTGTATTCATAGTATGTTTAGTCTGAGCAAATTAATTTTGATAATTGAAACTTAATATGCGCATTAATACCAATATGTTTGATTGCCTATGTTGTCCCATTTACAGGTCTGATAACACCGGAACTTCAAAACTATAAATCTAACTTAATACTACTTAATATATAATCTATAGATGGTAATGAATGCGTCAAATTTTTATATGAAAAGTAAGAAAAACAACGATAGTTTCAATATATTACTGTTGATATATGATTTCAATACAAACTAACATATTTATTTTGCATTTTGCGATTGCTGGTATACTTCGTAATACACGATTAATACGTTACCAAATTTGTCATGCATTACGGGATAGAAATAGTAAGATCATTGGAGTTTGTTCCTATCCTTCAAAAACAATTTCCAAAAATAAAATAAAAAACATAAAACTAGCTTTTGCCCGCGACTTCGTCCCGATAGTGTTTAATAAAAATGTAATTCGTTTTTACCCTCTTGTTTTAGACATAGTATGTGTCAATTCTATAAATAAGATTTTATTTTAAAGAAATTAATTATATAAAGAATTGCTAATAATGCACTTCAGAGCGCCACCTCGGATTCAACTATTTAACTATAACTATGACTGAATCTCAATACCAATTTTTATTTTGTAGAAAAGGGCTGTTTTTAAGGTTTTCCCGACAATTATCTGAATTTTCCTCGCCATAAAAACTATCCTTGGACTTTAACGAACATTTTAAAAAAGAGTTGGCCAAATTGGTCTAGGCGTTGTTGAGTTATGCGCTTACCAACAAATTTTGCGATTCATTTTTATATTATAGAAGATATAAAATGCAAAGTTTCATTTTTAGGGAAGTGTCATGCTTATTTTACTGCTATTTTGAGTAAAAACATAAATAAAATGAACGGAAGTTGTAGTACCTTATAGATGCCACCGCGTTTTGCGATTCAAGTCAATATTTTTATTTTATAGTTGTTTTGTTAAACTATGTGTAACCATATTTACGTACGTTCAACCAACGTGGTTTACGCTATCCTTAAAAACCTATTGACAAAACTTTTACAACTCCATTAAATGCTTCTTTAAACTTTCCTAAACCATATACAAATAACCAAAGTTGTCAAACATTGTCAAAAATCGTCTATAACGTGGTATGCCAGTTAACCAAAAAGAACGAATTTTTAAGCTAGTAAGTAAAATTCAATGGTGTCTGCACGAAACCCCAACATCGAAAAATATATTCCATGTGATACGTCATATCTTGTCTAGTCATTAAATACTAATCAACTAATCCATTGAATGCCCACAGTTATTATCCGTGCTCCCTTTGCATGCTTACATGTCATTTGGTTTGGTAAGTTGTTTTTTATTCAAATTTTATACCAATTTAAAAAAACCAAAAAGGAAGCAGAAAATATTGACCAAACGAAATGTTTATATAACTCAATAGAATAAATTATTTAAAACGTAGGTAGATGATATCGGATCAATAATCGTGCGCAGCATGATTAATTAAATGTCATCCTCTCAATTTATTCTCTACCAAGTATTATGTGGTGAGTGTTAGTGCCAGTGCCACCGATGAAACACTCACAGAGGACATTTTGTTTGACCGTCTGGTCGCCAAGCAATGTATTATACCGTGTATCCACAAGCTCACTAACTTTGTGTACAACACTGCTGTAATGTGAATTGTAATTAAAATGAACAAAGGACAATGTTTGCTTTTTCTGTTCTTACAAAGTATTACAATCGTATTTGCAAAGTAGTTAAATTATATAAATTTAATTTAGTATATACAGGAAATGTTTATAAATTTGTTACGATGGTATTCTATGGTCCAACATACATTTTATGCTAAAATGTTTCGAAAACTATTTTCGTACGCCGATGAAGAGTGATATAAATTAACTGAATTTTAGTTCTATGTTGTTAACGTATGCACTCGTTTTATACTTGATTCCACTATAAACTGTTTAGTTGTGGTGACAGGACATATAATCATATCAACGTGAGACAGGTGAAAACGTTAATAATATGAAACTAAAATTTTCATTATATGAATGTTATGAACTAATTAAAACGTAACTTAATCCCAACAAACATGACTGTCAAGTACATTTGAACAATAAATAATTCAACGATTTTAACACATGTAATGTTATCAATGTATATTCTTTAGTATTACTTCAATGTTACATTGATTGTTAAATAGCTGAAATAGTACCTACTCATTGCGTGTATTTGTCCATTTATACAGTGTGTAATTTAGACAAACATCAGTTCAGTGAAAAAATGTACACATGGTCATTGCAGAGTAAAATTTGTTGATTTTGTAATTATTATAAAAACAATGTGCTGTATTATACTATGTTTTTATTAAAATAAATATTTGAATAATGCAAATGGAATCACTTTATTAATCATTTGTTGGTTTATTATTTATAGCCCAATAAATATTAAAAATTGGTATTTTGAACATTTTTCCTGTAATCCTAAATAATTGTTTATTTATGGGACGTGTTTACGCAAAAACCGCTCAATCAATTTTGACAAATTTTGGCTTAGAGATGTTTTTGGACAAGGAAAAGCAAAAAGACTTATTTTTGCAGAAAATATAGCTTTCACAGTATAAAATAAAACATAAAACTAGAAATAAAAGTTATATTATAATAATAGTTAGGGGAGAGGGGGGCAAAGTGGGCCCCATAAGCGAAAAAAGGGGATTTGTTTACCTTTTTTCACTCGTTACCCTATTTTTTACATCCTTGTTCAGTATTCTATATTAATAAGCCGTGTCTATCAAAATAAAAAAAATTCAGAATATAGGGCAAGTGGGCCCCCGCCCATAAAAATTTTGCTATTACCTTTGTATCCATTTTTTGCTTATATATTTTTTTTTTAAATTCTTACTTCGAATTTGTTGATGTGAGTTATTTTCCCCTCTTATTTATCAAAAATTTTAGGAGGCCCACTTTGCCCCTCAATTTTTTAAGCCACCTGAATTTCAGGGTCCCACTTTGCCCCCAGGGGCCCACTTTGCCCCCTTCCCTTAAATAATTCAAATTCTTATTTTCTTGAATTAAAGCAAAAAAAAATTATTAAAGATATATCAATAAGAAGGTTAAACTAATTTTTATTAAAATATTTGCGGACAAAATCACGAGTAAATAAAAAATTGAAGTTAATTAAAAATGACTTCAATGCAGCTTTGTATATATTCCATTTCATTTTCATGCAAATTTTTAAAAATTTATCTAATATTTATGTGTTTCTTTGATGACTCCTCCGCAAAGTTTTTACAGCAAACATATATCTTTGTATTTACTAAATTTAATTTTAAAATAGTTTGGTGCTTCATTATTAAATTTTTGACAGCACAGTTGAGTGTCAATTTGGTAACATCCGAATATTTTTATTTATTGAAGCGTATAATTTAGTTATAATTCTGATTTTTTTTTTGTGCACAACTGCGTATACTGAAATCGACAGTTGGTTTTATTAATGAACAGCATCCAATCAGATGGAAATTGTTTATAATTTGGTTAATATATATGTGTACCTATACATATTTTCACTAATTTATAGTAAAATAAAGCAATGTTTGCTCAGTAAAATATTTATTAAATATATTTACAAATCAACGCAAATTGTAGTTTGGTTAAATTATTAACATGTTGACATTTTATTTATTCATGCAATTACTGGGAAGTAAACTAATTATACTTCTATAAATGGCTAAACCATGCACAAGTGACGGCTTTCCACCCGCGCATTTTATATATAATTTTGCTGATTGGAAAGTTTTGCATTGTTTTCAATAGATCTTTTGTTATTATTTAAGACTCTGTTTATAAGTAAGTATTGCTTTTGTTTTAAAAAAATATTATTTACATATTCTGATTTTATTTTGATAAATTTTAGGATAATTGATTAGTAAATACTGTTTTTATAACATATTGTTATTTATTTAAAACATTTTATAGTATACGAGCACTAGTGGTTTTGCCATATAAATTATTTTTAAAAATTTTCTTTGAGCGGCATGAAAAATGATTAAATTACTAAAATGGCTATAAAGAAATAGGGGTTGGTAATAAAAAACTAAAAATTTAGGGTTGTATGTATTTTTTAATGCCACATTATAAAAAATAAAAACAAAAAAATTCGTCCGAAAATTAAAAAAAGTTAAGGGTGAACAACTCTTATCACTTAGGGGTAGATAGTAGCCGATTCTCAGACCTACTGAATACGCATATAAAATTTGGTAAAAATCGGTAAAGCCGTTTCGGAGGAGTACGGAAACAAACACTGTGACACGCAAATTGTATATATTTAGATTAAACAAAAAAGGTCTAAAATTTATTTTCCAATATTTTTGTAAAAAAAAGTGTAATTTATGACAAAATTTACAACGAGAAAATGTCGTAAACAATTAATTTATGTCATTTAAGAACGCCTATCAAAAAATTGAGTTTTTTCTTAAAAAAAATCGGAAATTCCAAAGTAAAATGTTATTCTATTTGTCGTGGTATGTACTACATATAGATTACTCAATTAAATTATTTAAAATAACATAAATAATTTAATTTTCTGAATAAAACCCCTAACAATGCATTCGTACAAGGTATTTATTTATTTGTGAGCAATACCGTATTTTTATGAGCTTTTCGTGACGCAAACCGTGAATTAATGCCGGCGAATATCACTTCAAACACAAAAATGACAAAAGCGAAAATAATCCCAAGCGCTAACAGATAAAAAGCCGTCTGAACATCCTCAAAATTGAAGGCTTTCTGAATCTGCTCCAGGACTTTTGTGTGAATTTTCTTCCTCATTATGAATCCGTAGAGCGTATCGCGATACCATTTATTTATCAGTCCGCTCTCGAGAAATCTAGTAAGCAAGTCATTGAAGCGCGGCAAGAACGGCGAGTTTTTTTGCACCGCATACGCAAGAAAATACGACGAGGGACACTCGGGCACAACGTGCAGCATTGGCACGCCTTGATCCGAAACGAACTTGGTCTGTATCAAGAAGAACGCATCCTGTCTCCGTTCCACAGCGACGATATCCCGTCGGTACGCCGACCGATTGATCGCTTTCTCTGACAAGTACACACGTCTCGATTTCAATTTCTTTAAAATCTCTGACTTGCCATCCTGAAACACATCTACGCTTGTCGCGATCGGCAGTCCAGAATCGTACAACTCCTGGAGCGTATTTATGCGTGGATAGTAGACGATACGCGAGAATGAATTGAACAGCGAGCCTTGGAAAATACCCGCAACGATAACGTTGAATATCATACACGATGCGAGGATAACTCTCTGGTGGTAGATAGACGTTGGAGTGGGGACGGCTTGTCCGACCGAAATGCCGAACACGTCGACTAAATCATTCGCCAAGGGCACAGCGCGTATACGATTGTAAAAATCTATCCGTCGTCCGAAATTGAAACACAGCGCTAGCACAATCATCATAATAAAAATGACAAGCCACGTTTCAATTTTAAAACATCTGAATATCATCACCCACTGTGGCATTCGTTTCGGCATCGGCACGATAAAACACGCAACGTCATTGGTAACCGGTGTTGTGTATTCAATATTACGCGTGTCCAACGCAGTCATGAAACGACTGTTTGCAGCAAAATCGGCTTTTTTATAAACAACGTGTGCTAGACTACCGATGTACGTACCATTGGAGAGTTGATAGCCGTAATCACTGGAATCGACAATGTTGACGACAAAGTTTAAATAGTACGCCATGTTGCCGAGCACGCAACCATCGAAACCGCTAAAACCGTGCGCTAGGTCCGTATGCATGCAGTCGTAATGTATCATCGTCTCCGGTAAATCTTTCACTGCGCTCGGCGTGCGCTCGAATAATGTCACATTCAGCGTCATGCCTTTCAAAGAACGCAGTGTGTTAATCACCCGAAAGGGATTCGCACGCGCTTCACTCAACGTGCGGTGTTTTATTAGTCCCCATGTCATCGTTGAGTTATCATAGAAGAACGGATCGTATTTGAATATTATACGTGGATTACAACTGCATGGCGCCAGCGTAATCATGTTTAGTACTTTGAATTCGTGCCAGATCATTGGTAATATTTTACCGAACTGCTCGTTTTTTATGCATGTATTATCGTAATGTTCAACGAACAGGATTAGGTATGTTGCACGTGTGTTACGTATGATCTGCGTGGGTTGTGACTTGAGATAGTGCTCGAGTACGATTTCATTCCAGACAATGATTACGTAAGCTTCCTCCTGATCACCGGAAAACGAACGGGCCTGATTGAGTTCCACGCGCAGAGCTGTTGGTAATTCCGGAAGTGAGTCGTAATTTCCGAAATCATTAACCACTTTTAAAGAAACAGAAATTTCACATTTTAGTTGCGATTTTATAGATTCACATTTTATGGTGTACTAAATTATATAGCCAGTGATATTATCGAAAGTAATAAAATTTTGTAACGATTAGATCAGAAGATTTAAAATTATTTTTCATGTTCGTCATTTAGAAGACATTAATGTTTTGCCATTTAACAGATGCTCAAAAGAAAAATAATTAAACTTTTTCCAGCAATTTTTTTTAGTTTTACTTTCAGCAATTTCATGTCAAAGAGAAATTATCAAAAGGTTTAGAATTTCGATATTGAGCGTGACTTTAATGAGAAAGTTTTTATTAACGAAAAATTACTGAATAGATGCATTACCCAGATAGATTTTATATTGAAAATTTGAATTGTGGAAGTTTTTGCGTGAGAAAATCAGAATTGGGAATATATTGCTCGTTTTGAACGTTTTTTTTTTTTATAAAATTTTACTGGAAAATAATTACGTTCACACCTCCTAAAACATTTTCACGGAAGTGTTTTGAAACTATACTACAAAGCAACGTTCAAAATTACAATTTTACACTAATTGGCATCCATTAGCAGAAAATTTACCTTGAATACTGCGTTTGGCCCTGGTTCGGCTGATATTGTACAGATCAATGCGTACACTGCGCTCAATTTCACGCGAATATACCAATTTGAGAAAATTGTCCACGTAGTCTTTAAGATGGCCATCGAAGTGCTTCGATGTGAGTATTTTTAGCGTTATTGTAGCCGCTTCTGCAAAGAACCAAGCGTGCACCTCCCACATATCGTCCTCTTTTAGTATGCATTTCTCGTCGTCGCCATTTTCGGAAACTAAACCGGCAAAAGAGTTGCCTACGTTGCTTAGCAACGTCAATAGCAGCGTTGTTATAAAAATAGAAATTAACCTCGACGGCATGCTACTTCTGCATACTTTGAACCAATCTGCATATTCAGTTACAATTCTTTTGAGTTTTCGAAATAGAATGCCCGCTGGTATTATCGTGCGCGAATTTTCCAATCGCTTCCGCGCTCGGGCACGCTTTAAATACGCATGGCGTGTGTAGCGACGCGTTTTGAGAGCTTTTCGAGTCTACTCATGAACACAATGCGATTGTGTATGAAATGACAAATTGTATGCGAAGCAACGAGTATTACTTGAATATCCGCCACTGATTGACAACGCAAACGTAAACAGCCAGACATGTTTTTCACAAACGACTCTCCGAACGCTCATATATATTGGTCGCTTTATAATCAACATTGAAATGATAAATTTATCACCAGCGGCAATGTGTGTGTGTTGAGGGCGGGTGTTGGACATGCCCGGGAAATGTAAAGAAACCTGTTCGGCGTATGCACGTCAAACCTTGTTTGTTGTCGAGCGTGCACTTCGGGCCTTCAAACTTTTATTTGTATTTACACATTAAACAAGTGGTCGTTAAACGACAGTCCATCATGCCACACCCATTTATTAAACTTTTTTTATTTCACGTTGATGTAGATTTTCCGTTTTAAATCTCGTAAAAGTGTCAATAAAGTTAATCAAATATGTTTCAATTTTCTTGACACCTGCTTCGGGTCAATTTGTTTTGGGAATTAAAAATCATTTTCGCTGGAAATATTTTAGAAAAATCGAGAAATTTGAAAAACGTTTAATATTGTACAATATTTGCATTTTGCTGTTGTTGTGTTATGAAATTCGTAACATTCTATCGACCTGGAAACTTTTGCATAACTGTGATTTTTGGTATTTCGTAACCCTTCCGTTATAAATTGTTTTTGTTGCAAAGAATCTAATTTACAACAATAAATAAATTAATTTGCATAAAAATAAAAAAACGCACTAAAATAAATTGTATTTAATTAAATTTTTTATGTTGATTTTAATCTTATTGTTTTACCACACAATAGCAATAATTTAATTATATGATTATATCAAAATATATTTTTATGCTTGATGTAAGTATTGAATTACGTTCGTTATTTTCCTAACACAAAAATCAGTCTTAACGTTTCATGTTGCAAAAAGCTTCCAAATTTAGTCGATGTTATAAAACTTCCAAACCATACACACACACACATCAAACACTGCTTTATGATGTTCAGTAAACATTTAGAAATTAAGTTTCATCAACCCTTGCTTTTGAGCTGCGTAAAAAAACCCAAAAGCGTTTACCTTTTTTGTGACCTGGTTAAATTGGGTTACTTCGATTCGCGCGTGTTTGCAACACTGTAGAACAAAGGGTATTCCTGTTTTATTCCTTTCGAAACGCCATTATCTATACTATATGCTTCCAGAGCGGCACGGAGGTAATAAAAATTCACCTCGCTCGCACCTTGAAACAATAAAATACCTAAATCGTTACGCAGCGCGCCATGGGCGAGAGGCACTTGCATCACGTGTTCATTTATCTTCATATAAAACAACATCCACTGTGTAATTGTTGACATTTAATCCAAGACGCTCAGAGTAAATTGAAATTGCATTTTACTATCATCAGACGATTGCACATAAATGCTGCATAACTTCAATTGTTTTTATGACTTAGATCGTCAATAGCAATTGTTTAATCTTGTAGTAGTCGCAGAGGATGCCGTATTTATACAGCATTTAGGTAATATAATTTCAAAACAAAGTACAACATGCGTTACTTAAATCTATAATATAAAAATGAATCGTAAAATATGTTAGTAACCGCATTTTGGCCAATTCTTTTTTAATGTTCATTAAAGTCGGAAGATGATTTTTACGTCAAAAAAATTCGAATAATTGCCGGGAAAACCCTAAAGACAACCCTTTTCCATAGGATAAAAGTTGGCATTGAGATTCATTCATAAAATGTATTTATTAAAATAATTTTGTGATTTCTTGATTTCTGATGATGGCCCACAGGGCGAAACATGTAAAACTCGCATACAAAATTGTAAAATCCAAGAAAATCACAAAATTATTTTAATAAATACATTTTATAAACCATGGATTACGTATTCAACTTAGAAAATAATAAGATTCATTCATAGTTTTAGTTAAATAGTTGAATCCGAGATGCCGCGTTGAATTGCATTATTAGCAATTCTTTATATAATTAATTTCTTTAAAATAAAATTGCGAATCTTATTGAGAGAATTGTCACATCCTATGTCTAGAACAAGAGAGTAAAAACGAATTACATTTTTATTAAAAACGACCGGGACGAAGTCGCGGACAACAGCTAGTATTGAATATAAAACCCAAATGTAGGAAGTCATAATAAAATTTAATTAATATTAAGAATCAAAAGTTAATTTTGTATTATGTAATAGCATATCTGTTATGTTTATCAAGTCAATAAAATACTTTGATTCTTTTGTTCTTTGATTAAAAATATATTCGTTAACCTCGTTACGTCGGTATTTCGAAAAGCCAGGAAATGCCTCTTTCACTTTTACTTTCGCTTTACCAGTATTTGATTAGTCTCCGCTTCTGTATCCTGAAGCATTTTTACGTTACTGTGTATTATATTAAAAGAAATTGTTTCTGAAAATACTCTAAAATTCAAATTATTTGAACGTTTTATTTTTATTATGGATTAAATTGATATGTACTCAAATATATATAAATTAATTTGAGACATTTATAAAAATATTTATTAGAAATTAGCTTTTGCTCGCGACTTCGTCCCGGTAGTGTTTAATAAAAATGTACCTAATTCGTTTTTACTCTCTTATTCTAGACATAGTATATGTCAATTCTATCAATAAGATTTACAATTTTATTTTAAAGCAATTAATTATATAAAGAATTGTTAATATCCTATCCTTATATCCTATAGAAAAGGGCTACCTTTAGGGTTTTCCCGGTATTTGTTTGAATTTTTCTTATGGTAAACCATCCTTAGACTACAAGGAACATTTCAAAAAAAGAATTGGACAAATTGGTCTAGGCGTTCTTAAGTTATTCGCTTACCAACTGAATTTGCGATTCATTTTTATATTATAAATATTGGAAAGCATTGGAATATGGCACCATTTTACGCCAGAGACAACATATATCAGACCAAAACGCAAACAGGAACCACAACGTCGCAAAAAACAGCATGAAGCAAATAAAAAAAATATAACAATGGTAACTCGAGATAAAGTCCTTTATCGAACTGAACCGTAATTAAAACACTGAATGAATAATTTGTGCAAAAACATAAACCTAACGAATACACTTTTTATTTGCTAAGCTTGTTTGTGAAAAAAACAGCAGCTACAGACAATACCTTCACGTTTCTTTTAATATGTGTGTTAATTAATTACTAAACTTTCGGTGTGATGGGAACTCATGATGAAAATAAATTGACTGTTATATCGCCAGTGACTGCACGATATATAGTTTATAGATAAACGTTGCCTCGCAGGTTGTTCAAACTTCCTAATTGCCAGGACCTCCATCTTAACGTTCACTTCTGCCATGCCGGCGAGGCTTTCTCAATAAAGACTTGCGCCACATAGGAACATAGTATTTATATTTTATATAATTAGAACTTTTTTGCGGCCCTTCACGTGAATAATTGACTAATGCATACATTTTTATTAAAGTTGTACAGTGAGCAAGCCTCCATAATTATTGTTCATATAAATTAATTTCAAAGAGTGTCTTCTGTAAATATGTTGTAAATAAACGCTGTTTAACATTATCACGATTCGAATTACAACTCTTTTTCTGTAATCGATTTTTTTATTAGGCAGTATTATTTCTAAAACCCTATTTCAGTTCTTATCCTTTATTTTACGCTTTTCTATCTTGTCTACACTTACCTATACAAAATATACCTATACGTGCAAATTTTGAGATTGATTCAGGACGACATCTGCCACTACATATGTTTTTTATAATTGTGAAACCGGAAGAAAGGTTTCCCAGAAAACACAATATTATGTACAAGTAGGATATTGGACTTTCATATTACATCCTGTTTTTCTAATGTTGTCATGCCGACAAAACGTTGTCACGGTCAACTGTCCATTGTCCCAAATCCTAAAATAGTACTCATGTAATAATAAAACCCACACAAAAGCTTCCCACGCGTAGTAAAATAAAAAATAAAAATTCAATATCAATAAACTGTGATCCCAGGGCAGGTAAAAAAACAGGTTGTAAATTCATGCGACAAAAAAATTCATAATCGCCATTGATAATAATTCGTCCAAACACAGTTCCCAAGTGGCCAGTTCCAAACGTATATGATCCACTTACCGTCGTAGAATAACCCAGTCATTGCCATAACAACCCTTCATGTTGATGTTGATGTTGACAATACAAACAATGAACAGACAAACCTCCAGTAGTAGTCCACTGCAGTAAAAATACGAAAAATTCAGTCACCGAATGCACGAGTATAATAAAATCGTATTATTAAAAGTGTTTGTGCTTTTTGTGCCAGAGGGATTTGTCATTTTTATCTTTGACGGCCAAAAAAAAAACAACAATGACTTCTCTACTTCTAAATGGCACCCAGTCAACAATTAAAAGCTCAAGTAAAACCGATTTTAACCTAACATCCAATAATCCGAAGCACTTCATCAAACTGATTGCAACGTACTCGTACGCACCCACGCTCATGTAATTGCGTTCATAAGCGGATTACTTGACTGATATATGAATGTATGAATTCCAGGTAATTCCGGCGAAAAGTACATGCCAGAACCACATCCGATGGAAAAGCTGAATTGGCTCATTCATTTATATCACATTCGTGGCGAAATTGGACCTTGTCGAACGCTAATAAACGATGAAATTGAGCAGAGTCAGGGGAAAAACGAATTCGCTCTGTATAAAAAGTAAGTTTACATTGTCGCTGACTTTTAGGAAGCTGGTTATAAAGGATTAACGCTAAACGAACTGCAAACAGTGCTAACACGTATGCCGACATTCTGTTTAATATGTTAAAATTTGCCCTTGGCTATTCGCGTAACAAGCAAAGTTTCAGAGTTTTTGAACTTGGCAAAGCTTTAAGTACACAATCAGAGCTTTATGAATAAACTTAAATTGTTTAGTATGAAGTTTCCTCTTCATTTCATATTGGCAGAGATAACATTTTTACTTTAGGTAATTAATTATGATGTGCTTAGGTACCTACAGTTATAAGGATACATTTGCTTTAATAAAGTAACTTCAAAAGGACTCACACAAAAGCTTTAACTAGACATGGGACAATATTTGATAGTCTGTGCAAAACCCCTGTGATTTTTATATTTTTTATATTAAAGTCTACCTAAAATTTAAGGAATTAAGGGATTTTAGAGCCAAATTAGTAAATTTACTTATAGAACAGGAAAATACTTTCTGTTGCCATTTGCCTGTCAAAAAAAAATAACAGGAAATGTGCGTAAATACATTTTTGTATTTTAAATCTTTGAAATACGAAACGCGCAGGCGCTAGCTCCGCCTCGTAAGTGAAACACGTGAATAAAGCACTTTACTCATGGCTTTGGCCGTCCGTATATAAAGTACCACTTTTTGTGTATAAAAACCATGAAAAATGATGGAAGTAGAAAAAAATAAGAAGTAGAGTAAGTTTAAATATTATATTTATATTGCAAACAAATTATGATGACCTATTTCGGATAGTAATTATCAAATATTGACCTACATTTACTAAATACCATACTTAACACATTTATTCCCTTGTTGATGACAAGAGTCTCTAATTAGAAGTTGTTTTAATTAATATCTAATCATAATTTAGGATTCATATAATTATTATTTGCTTTATTCTTGCATATAACCTGTGAAAATCTCTTGATGTTCATTTACTACTACATTTACCGAGAATGAAACACTATACAAACAACACCGATTACTCTGATCTCCAACTCTGAGTACTGCAGCTTTTTCTCTGCCTGCAGGGTATAATTCTGCGCGAAGAGGGAAATCTGCAGGAATCACTCGAAACATTTCAGCAGTGCCATAAAATAAATCCGGAAAACGTCGACAACCTCAAACAGATTGGAAAATGCCTGTGAGTAAACTTTTACTTTGATAAAAAAAACTAGAATCGCACAAAGTTAATTCGAAAGGTACTTTTTTTTAATACTTATATAAACATCCAATGCTAAACCAAATACAGAAATTTCTGTGAAATGTAACGTTTCATTGCTGAATAATATTATGATATTCGGTGTATTGTTCTTTTAAGAAGATACAGACTATTTCAGTCGTTGTAAGCGTCATTCTGCGTCATTCTAAAAAATGTCATTTTTTCAGCTTTATGTTGAAACGATTCCGGCTGGCACTCGAAGCATACTTGCAAGCGGAAAACGCTGCACAAAAACATGACTGGGAAATCTTTCATAATATAGGTATGTAATTAGTAATTAGTCAGGTACGTAACTCTCGAACTTCCGCTGTTTTTATATCCGTCTTAATATTTTACAATTATTTGCCGTTTCCTGTTATATAATTTTTAAAAAGTGAAAGAGAACCTTACATACGATTTTTTTTTTAATTACTTTCACATCTAATTAAGATCTTTTTATACATTTTATCGTTTGTGTGGAAACGATGGAAAAGGTTGTTTGGTTGCCTAATCTTTTCTGTTGATTATGCAACTAATCTTACGTTACGAGATATTTCGGAATTATAACCTCAAAACTCAATCTCAAATGTTTTGATTTTTATTTAGAAGTGGATATAGTAATTGTTTTAATTGAACAATATTTTTGAAGGCGAATCGTGCCTCCAACTGAAAGACAACAACCGCGCGAAAGAGTATCTGGAAAAAGCAGTAAATTTGGGCAAACAGGAAGTATCCTATAATCTTTTAATTAAAATCTTATCAAAAGAAAACGAATGGCAGACTGCGGTAACCACGAGCAACAAAGGCGTTGAGTAAGTCCACAATTATTCGTATCATTGTTGTCCTGTTATTTTTATGCGTTTGATGTGTCAATACATATAATATGCAATTCTGTATGACTACAGATAGATCATTAGGTGTAATAAACTAGAAATTATTTCGTGTCTATCACAGATCCTGTCCGGATAGTGCGGATATGTTAACGAAGTCAGGAATTCTATATTTGCGGATTGGTGAAACCCAACACGCATTCGAGCGATTGAGTTCAGCACTAGCATTGGACGCGAGCAACCACCGAGCACTGCTGGGAATTGGCTGCATTACACAAGTATGTATCTTTGATTAAGGCCTAAAAGTAGGACATGGTTGCCAATTGAGTGAGGAATGCTCATGGGTAAATGCTCTTTGACAACATAAACATAACAGCAAAAGAAAACAAATTCAAAGTTATTCAGAGGAAAAATGTAAATTTAGAATTACTTAGGTATGTACTTGAAAAATACTCACTTCAAGTTAAAGCAATCATTTTTGCGCTTTTGGGTACATTTGCAATTCAACACGAGGATTTTTTTTTCGCTACACGTGTCGCTAAGTACACGAGAAAAATGCGTTTGCTCTTACTTTTACCAGAATCACGAGGAACACGACGTAGCACTCTCCAAATACAAGATTGCTGTGCAAACAGAACCGAATTCGGTTGCCCTGTGGAATAATATCGGAATGTGCTTCTACGCAAAGCAGAAATTCGTTGCGGTAAATATTCGTGCCCGGCGCGTGATTTACTTGTTATCATGCGGGCATTCGTGAAAATAATTTGCTCAAATGCGTCAATAACAATTTCAGGCCGTCACCTGCCTGAAAAGATCGCTGTGGCATTCTCCGCTCAACTGGAAAGTCCTAATTAACTTGGGACTGGTGAATTTGCACACCGGGCAAGCTGCCTCAGCATTCAACTTTATCTGCGCGGCAGTAAACATTCGTCCGGATTTGGGCCACACATTTATGCTGCTCGGCTGTAAGTAAGCGTGGCTAATTATTTCGCCAAAGAGAAATAGTGCCGGCTTTATTTACCTATACTTTACTTTAATGTATTAAGTAGAAGTACAGATAGAAGTAGAAGGTTGAAGTTTTGCAAATTCTCAGGGCAGAGCGATAAATTAAACCTAATACATAGGTACAATATTTAATTAACCGAAACTTTTCTGTTTATGAAGCGAAGTGAGTAAAAGGTGGCAAAATTTAATTAGTTGATCAAAACCAAAGCGCGTAATTAACTTTCCGTATAACGTCAAAATCAATCCCTCAGCAAATCAAATTTGGTTGTTATTACTTCCAGCACTTTAATCTGTTTTCATCCGCAAAGCAATAATATTAATGGAGTAATCTCTTTTTGACATGTTGTGAATTATTGTGAGGAAATTTGGTGGATTAATTGTTGAGCAAATTGAAGCATTCGAAATCGGCTCGTATTCGTAAACATAATTTATTTAACGATTACAGGTGCTTTGCTGGAATTAAATGATAAGGAAAACGCATTGCAAGCGTTATCTCAAGCTCTGGCAATGAGTCCTGATGATGCGTATATTGTTTTGAATGCTTGTTTGTGTTATTATCAAACCGGACATCGCGACAAGGCTGCTGAATTGCTCGAGCGCTTTAAAAACTTAGCGAATGGTGTCAAAACAGAAGAGGTAATTTTTTTGCTGTATTACTAATAGAATTTGAACATTTTAATCCTTATAACCTAAAATTTAATTTTAATGGCATGCTGGTTGCATACAGTTTATATTTCAGTTTATATTCCATTCATAAAATCGATTTTAATTGGCAATTAAATTTCACATAAACCAATTGTTTTATTGCATTTGTTAATGTATTTAATGTGTAAATCAAAACTATCAAATGTCAAAATACGCACCAATTTCATATGATTTAAAATTTAGTTGCTGTAATGTTTGCCCATCAACCTGATTCAATTTTATTTTTCTAGTTAAACAAACTCTACGTTAAATTGGATTTAAGCCTGACTGCCATCAACGATGCTGACCAGCCCCCGCCTCCGCCGCCAACCGGGATTAAATCCAACGAAAACATTATTAATAATCCCGACGATAGTGCTGCCACTGAGGATACAAAAGAGTCAACAAACATTGCAGATATGGTTTAATTCTATCACATTTTACCAAATAATTAGCATTAAATATTTCGGTTAGAACATTTTCCCACTTAATACGTTTTACCTTCATGCGAAGCGCTTAACCCACCACTACGGAGTCATCCGATGGAAAGCTGTAAGGAGGCACAACTAAATTAATGGGAGCCGGTCCTTTACGGATGCGTCCTGAGGCATCAAAGTGTGATCCGTGACAGGGGCAATAATAGCCGCCAAAATCGCCTGCATTCGCAATCGGTACACATCCTAAATGCGTACACACACCAATTAGGATCAACCAATCTTCCTTTTGTGTCCTGTCCTCATCCCGCTCGGGATCGCGTAGGGTATTTAGTGGCACCGCACGCACTTCTTGAATCGTCGATGGCTCGCGATGCCAGATGAATAGCGGTTTGCCGCGCCATTTGAATGTAACATGTTTGCCCAGCGGGATTTGATCGAGCTTGATCTCCAGTTGCGCGAGGGCCAAGACTTCCGCACTGGCGGACATGAATGACACGTAGTGAGCCACGATGGCCTTGCTACTATAGACAGCTCCCAAGCTGCCTGCCAATACGATGAAATATGTGAAGTTGTTACGTGCGTCTTGTGAATCGCGAGAGTTGGCGTACGGACTTTTGAGAGAATCCCGACGGTACTTATCGAAATTCGGCGCTTTCCAATCGTGATGGCTCTTGAACCTGATCTGAGAGGTTTGACCAATGCGGGATACAGCATTAGAACGTTGGCAGGACCAATCTACGTGACCAAGAAAGGGATGCTGTGGTCTATTGAGTGGAACAATACTTGACTTTGGGATCGCGGCTTTTATAGGTTTCAAACTTTGACTGCTCGTTCCCACTATGGAGTTAACAACTCTGGTTACATATGCTCTTGAAAGATTCAACATTTTGTACGACATTAGACAAAAATTACAATAAAATGACGTATCTATTTAAAATGTTAGATAGGTTAAAAACAAAAGTTGAAATGTGATGTTCACCGCAATTTATGTCTTAACAAAAAAACGTAGGAGTTTATGATTTCATTAAACACATCCAATAGTACGCCAATTAGTAATTAGTAGACAATGTCGATCTTGTGATAAATGCAGCAATTGGTTTTTATTCGTATAGATTAAATATATTTGTGAAAATCCAAATTTCTACACGAAAAAAAACATTGTTCCCATTTCATTTATGTCATAAGCGCATATAAATACTTAAATCTAGCATAATTCAAATTCTCACTAGGAATAATGGTAACAAAAAACTTAACGATACAAATTTTCAAATAGTGAATTAGTACAAAGCTACACATTACGTCATAACATCTATAAAACTATTCGAACGTCAACATCGGTAAAGCCTCGTATCTAGAATTATCAATACTACAATTAGGCAACATTTTCTATTAATTTCGATTCCTTTCAATCAGACTTAGGTACTTAAAGGCCAGCAGCGTTATAACCTGTTCTGCAATCAGGTCCCGCTGCATTGAACTATTAATTGCAAACGATTACATTATATTTATCAACGTTGCTAAGTGCACATAGAACCCAGAGAACGATTCAAGATTCATTAATCCACAGCAAATACTTTGCTATCACAAATTTTGGTATTAATACTGCAGTTTTCAGCCAAAAATATTTACATTGCTTGATTCATATCAAAGTCATATTATTACAATCAATTCCTATGACTTGTGGAAAAATATTTCGATGCTATTCAATATAAAGTTGTTGGCAAATTTAGATTTTTCATTTCTTAGCAATAAATTGGTGCATTTTTATGAAAATTTGCAATAAGATATAAGAAGACGGAGTAGATATAGACGTGTAATCTATAAACCAACGTCAATCGGGGAAGAAATGTGCGATTTCCATCGGTTTATAGATCAGTCAAAGATCATGAATACGACCTTAAATTATACGACTTGCTCAAACCCGACTTACTGCTAGGACACGTTATAAAAATACCTTTTGGCGACGACGGATGACAATAACGATAGTAAAGTAAAAGGAATGCAACAGCCAACACAAAAGTAATTAATTGTGTGATGGGTGCTCCGTAATATAGAGCTGAGTTGTTTAGTGAATTGTTTGTGACGCACCTATTAAAACAAAACAAAACAAAAGTGTTATTATTTATTCAGTTGATGATTCAAGTGAAACACTCACCATACAACAAGCGCGCCTGTATTTTCCATAAAACAAACGAGATAATACGCAAGATACACGTATCGTGTGGGCCCATCTCGAGGGGAAATGAATGCAAGGACATAGGCTAAGCCCAGCGCACAAGATAGGAATAATTCTTCACATTTGTTGACACAGTTAGCAGTTAGATGTTCGAATGTTAACCATAGCGACATTACAACCCAATGTAAAATGCACATGAAGCCCATCCATGACGGGTAGATAACGGCGAGAAGGCTTAACGCTAGTACACGCGAAACAACACTCATCAGATGCCAAATGAACGCCACCATGATTCCTTCCCATGAAACCTTATTCTTATCATCTCTGGCAAATCTTATAGACCTGTGATATGATGTCAGAGACCATGCTATCGATATCACGCCGGCTAGAACTGTCCAAGCTTGAACAACTGCCATTTCTAAAAAAAAAAACATAAAATGTTATTGGTAATATGCGGAAACCTTTTGAAAATTATATACCAGTTTCAACATGAGAATGATTTTCCTCAGATAAATGCCTTACAAGAATAATCAATTGTATGACACATTGTGGTCCTGCATGCAAGAAACAGTGAAATAATCTTAATAATGCACCATTACTGTCCTCATCTAACATTCGGCGATAGTACGTGGTGCTTAACATTTGATCATGTGCATTATTCCTTGAAACCACACTTCTTATTCCATAATATAAGGTATCAAAATATCTTAGCAATGGTGAGATTTGCAATAGCAAGAAAATGATTCTCACTATCCATTGGCAGGTTGAAGTCCTCCCCATAGACTGCTGATCATCATGATCAACAATATACCTGAATCACAAATTAAAACTAATTAGTGCCATATGCAAATCACCGCTATTTTTAGATTCATTACCAGCGCAAATTGAAGGCAGTCATAAACAAGGCTGGCAGCAAAATAAAAGTCAAGGTAACTGCAAAATATGAACCAAACCCATTTGCTTGATAATAGTACAATAAAATGATAGCTAATCCAATGTCAATAATGTAAGTTAAAATTGATAAAACAATGCAGAAAGTATAAAATGTCCCAAATTGGTTGCCATCGGGTATTTTATAGGGAGCATCGTTGGTTTTGAGTGTTTCAATGCGTACACTGGACGGTTCTCCGGAGAAATGCACCACCGTGCAGTCTTGAGCCATTTCACATTACGTCACTTCTTGTAATTTCTTCTTAATTAATTTCCAATTCTCACTGGGGCTCACTCATTTTAATTATTCCGCGACTGTTGTGAAATGCGTCACAAGACTAAAACCACATCCTGGTTAAGGCAAAAAGTTTATAATACTGGCGCGCGTATATTGATGTTGTGTAAACAACAAATTAAACTGCAAACGGCAATCAAAACAATGCTATTACTCGGTTTATATCAAACTGTTCTGCTACACAAACACAACATTTGGATAAATACTGTAGAAAACGACGTGTGAACGAAAACGCAGTTGTGGTTGAAGTGAATGCGACAATTTCCCGTGTAAATGATTGCTAGCGACATCAGCAGGTGAACAAACGAACTATTGTACACTGCAGTAACCTACATTTACTCCACGGTATCAAACATTTATTTTCTAAAACTTAATTTTGAAATATTTATTTATAAACTTTACGTGAATATTGGATTTACAATTTTATATGTAGAGTTTAACATGTTTCGCCCAGAGGGCATCTTCATAAACTGTACAATATACAATATACAATGGATTACGTATTCACAAATGAAAGTAATAAAATTCTAAAACGTAACGTGAAAATTAACAAATATAGTCATACTCTCTTATAATGTTTAAATAATAAGTGAATCTGCAAAGATTCTCGACTATCAAAATATTTCGAGTACTAAGCACACACCTCAGTTTATTTTATATTTTAGCTTTTCTCTTCGTTTTAATATATTATCAAAATAGAACTATTTCTTATTGTTTAATTACTATTGCAATATTACGAATTATAGTAATTATGCGTTGTGCAAGCATGTGAAATCAATTTTTAAAGTGTCGCGTCTAGTGTCTTTTGTGTTCACCATGTTGGATTTTGCTGGAGTGGCAGCACTGCATATGTCACTAAGCATCTTTGGCCGTTCGCCGTTCCGCCGTATAAATCCTCAAGCATTTTGTGTTCCCGGGTAACGAGTTCGGCGCCGAAAAATTCGAAGCCGTTCAACTAAGCAACATTAATTTTGCCAACAAAGGTGAGTCCGATTATTAACAAGGCCAGACATAAGCGATATCCGCATGATTACACATCGCCGCTCACTTTAAAACCGCTTTTTACGATGTGCGACATTATAATTTACGAAAATACACGTGCTTTATTAGAACTCATGCCGCGCATGAGAAAATGCCGGCTAACGTTCGACGCAAATATTGCGCTTTACGTTGGAATTGTCCACGTGCAACATACTCGCAATCAAAATGACTTTAATGTGCGCCGTTCAATTCTAGAACAACGTTCGTACGATATTCGTTAGAAAAAAATACTATGGAGAAAATGGAAACGACTCCCGTCATCACGAACAATACCGGCCCCGAGAAGGACGCCGACGTTCCCGCGGACGAAATGACTTCAAGGGATTACTACTTCGACTCGTACGCACACTTCGGCATTCACGAAGAGATGCTGAAGGACGAGGTACGGACGCTCACATATCGGAACTCTATGTATCACAATAAGCACTTGTTTGCTGGTAAAATTGTGATGGATATTGGCTGTGGCACAGGCATTCTGAGTATGTTTGCTGCAAAGGCAGGTGCAAAGAAGGTACTTGCTGTTGAATGTTCCAACATTGTGGATTATGCCAAGAAGATTGTTGAGGCTAACAAATTGGATCATATTATTTCAATTATAAAGGGGAAAGTGGAAGAAATCACTCTACCTGATGGCATTGAAAAAGTTGACATAATCATCTCTGAATGGATGGGCTACTGTCTGTTTTATGAGAGCATGTTGGACACAGTACTGTTTGCTAGGGATAAGTGGCTAGCACCTAATGGTCTACTTTTCCCGGATCGCTGCTCACTCTTTATTACTGCCATTGAGGATCGCCAGTATAAGGACGAGAAGATCAATTGGTGGGACGATGTCTACGGTTTCGATATGAGTTCGATTCGTAAGGTCGCGATTAGCGAACCGCTAGTCGACGTCGTTGATCCCAAGCAGGTCGTTACGAACGCATGTCTTGTAAAGGAAGTCGATCTCTATACGGTGCAGAAGAGCGATCTGGAATTCTCAGCGCCTTTCCATCTGCAGGTCAGACGCAACGACTACGTGCAGGCGCTGGTCACATTCTTCAACGTGGAATTCACCAAGTGCCACAAGCGTGTCGGTTTCAGCACAGCGCCAGAAGCAGCCTACACGCACTGGAAACAAACCGTCTTCTACTTCGAAGATTACATGACCGTTAAGAAGAATGAAGAAGTTTATGGTACGTTTGAGATGCGACCGAACCCTCGCAACAATCGTGACTTGGATTTCGTCATTGAGATCGACTTCAAAGGCGAGCTCGGCGATGTGCATGAAGTCAATAGGTACCGAATGCGTTGATAGTGCTTCCGGTCGATTTGCACAACCCTACCAACAGTAACCTAGCGAGTTTCAAAATTTACGTTTTTACGGACCTAAGATAACCAATTGACATACACTTATTTGTATTATTTGTAACTATACTTATTATAATGCGAGTTGTTCTTTTTAAGACTAGATGCGGCGGTTGAAAGAGGTTCAATTTCTCGAAGGTAGCTCATACATGCGATTTATTCATTTTGAAAACTATTTTCAACGTGAATTTCGGTGTTGCTGCATACTTAATATTAATCACATGTATTCATCCAAGCATCATGATCTGACATCTCAAATAGTGGGTGGTTTTACACAATTTTCCTTATTGTTTTATTATTATTTTTTTACATGAAGCCAAACTGATTCTTTTGAACACCTACATTTGAGTTTTATTGATGTTACCTTTTTCGCGTTGTCGACGTAAATAGCTTTTGATTTCGCTTGAGACCTAAGAAGTAATTTAAATTTCAACACTGCAATGCTTACCAGTGTTGTTAATAAGTGTTATTGGTTCTATCATTAAAAACTTGATCGAATGTTTCGAATACGGAAAATATCCAGTGGCATCCTGAAGGAAGTCACTCGGGAAGGTTGGAGTGAGGACGAAATAGTGTGAGGGAATATTTTATCTTGACAACTTGACTTATTTTGAATATAATGTATAGCTATAAAAAATATCATAATAAATTAGGAGCGACTGTAAGACTATGTAAAGAATACTCTTGTCTATTTTTTAAACAGTTTTTTTTTATCAGTTACCGTTTCACGAAGGCAAGTAAAGTCGTTTCTTAAATTTTTAGTATTGTTTGCTTTTGGCTCTTGAAGTCACTGCGCAATTGGATGAAATTGTGGACGACCGACCGATCCAAATCAACCTGCAAATTAAAATGATCCAATGTCAATTTTATACAAACACATTTTGAGTTTTACATACCAAAGAATCTTCTGAACAAATTTGTTGTAGATTCTCAGGCTTGACAAGCAGCAAATTGCACAAGGCATGCAAAGTTTCAAACAACTTTGTAACCAGGGGTCCCAATGGTTTCGCACAGGAACGGTATTCGTTCAAATCACAAATTGCAACCATTGCTCCTGCAAAAAAACATTTAAGTATACCACTACTCACCACCTAAAACTCCTCCTATACCTGCAGTATTGTATTGAAATTGAAGCATGTGATCATAAATAGTCCGATGCAAACGAATTCCTAACTCTTGAAGCACTGCATTCACATTGTTTCCATCTAAATTCGCTTTTATTTGCTGAATCATACTATTTATGTACTGCACAACCACTTTGCAAGGCTATAAACACGTGAAATGAATATTAAAACAATATATTGTTTACAACAACAAAAAATTCCTTACTGGAGATATCATAGTTGTAAAATCATCCGTTTCTGGCTTATAATCGGTTTTCTTTTGCTCAACTTGTAAGTACAATTTCACCCAGGTTAAAATTGCGTTTAACGATCGATCCATGCCGGTATTAACTTTGCGTTCAATGTCCTCCATAACAAACTTCTTTTTTTGTACACAATCATTATAACGCGGTGTATTACTACAACATGTAAATGTATATCATTTAGATTTTCCTGATAAACAAGTATCTAATACTTACATTACCAAAGGTACAACTATATCACTAAATTGCTTCTCCAACAAATGAGTGATATTATTTGTTTGGTGCACGACAGTAAAGAAATATAATTCAGGCAGATTTCGGCCGCCTTCGACAACTGGAATTGCCTGTAGACCTAAATCCAACGCGTAATCAACATGCTCTGATAGTAAACAATTTAAGAGTCTGTCTAAAATTTGAGTTGCGTTCTGTGATCTCTCGTCTGGTCGCGACAACTAAAATTATGAATGATATTATATTTACTACACAAGAAAGGAAATAACTTACTAAAGCACATCGTTGAAAGGCCAATTTTGCATCTTGTAAAATAGTAATTGCCAACTCTTCAGAGAGGAAAGTCTCTCCGCCGTAGTTTTCAATTTGTGCAATGTTGATATTCGCTCTGGTTGCTATTACTGCTTGCAGATCTCGTTTCAAATCTTGGAATCTATAAATTTTGTTGTTTTAAATTGTGCTCTACGCAACAAGATTTATATAAAAAACATTCTTTTCAAAGAGGCTTACCCGCCTGTTTGAATAGGTTTCTTCTGGTGATTTTTGCTCTCATAATACTTTTGCAAATTGCTACTATTGCGAGCTTTCAAATTTTTAGCTCCAATTCAATATAATTATCAATATGTTTATTGAAAATGTTATCAGTGAGCTTGCTCATGAAATTAATATCATAACCAATGTTCAACGCGGCTAAATTGGATGACAACTGATTCGTTCTGAAATAATTTTAATTATTATCTTATTCAACGACTAGAAACAGTAGCCTGGTAAGAAGTAAACTTACTTTGAATATAAATCAAACAAAACACACAAAAAATTGTAGGTGTCCAGATTCTGTGAGAGTCTGTTGGTGATGTACTCATTTAATTTTAGGTGATAAATGTTCAGGATAAATTTGGACATCACTTGATCTGGATTCTTGAAGACTTCATTAATAATTTGGTTGTTTTTCTCGCATAGTGGAAGCAAATAGCTGAAGACATCTTTGATTAGCAAACAACCCTAGAATAAGCAATTTTAGATGAATAGTATAAGGAAATTGGAATAACTTACCCCTTGGCTTTGTTCAATGTAGGCATCAATGCATTGTGAGTAACCTTTGAACTGTGACAAAACATTGGCAATTTCTTTCATGCGTTTTAAATCATCTCGACGCTGCTTGGTGGCAAATTCTTCAATTAGCGCACGCTCGATTTCATCGTATTTCTTTTCAATGCGCTTGTTTACAGTTAAAAACCTATTTTTGGATAATTTCTGATGAAATATACAATTTTCTTGACAAATGGTAACTTACTTTGGTGTAGGTAGATCCTGTGCAATAATATACAATTTCTGTATGATATCAGCAGCTTCATCAATCTAAAAATGTACATATTTAATGTAAAATAAGCTAATTTTCAAATTTAAGAGAATATTTACACGAGTGGGATCAGAATATAACGGCAATGTGTCTGATTCTGAGGTAATGAAACCATTTAAGTGTGCCATAAGTCGTTGTGCTTCCACTACACGGGATCTGGGTGCGTTGACGCTATCCAACTGATCTCCCAAATGTAGAACTTTGGTTGCAACATGATTGATTTTTTCATCAAGTTGTCGGAATGTTTTGGCGGCGGTTTTATTGTCTTCTTGCAGATTATGCACTTGTCGTCGGAAATGTGTCTCATCGTCACGAACAGCGGCTTCTAGACGTTCACATTTCTTGTGTTGTCTTTCTTGTAGCAATGTCAAATCCCTACCAAATATTTCATTTAAATTATATTAGAGACATGTTACATCAACTAATAGGCTATCTAAGTTTAGTTTAAACTAGTGGTTACATTATAAAACAGTTTTAAAAGTATATTGACTATAGACTCACTTGATGGCATCAACAAATGCATCATGAAGCAGTATAGGATTGAAACCATCATCAGAATCATTTTCTTGTTTGGTTTCTGCAATAACACGCCATGCCACGCGTTCCACAAACTCTTCAGCTTCAAATGGCTCCTTAAAACATAAGTGTCCTACATAACAACCCTCAATAGTGACATTTACACTTCCTTACTTGTTCCAACTCCTTTAAATATTTTTGCAACGACATTTCAATGACTTATATTTATGAAATCTATTTATAACTATAAAAACTAACAATTTATGAACAGTAAATTATTTATTTTATTTATGATCGCAGGATCTTCAAAATCTGTGAAAAATATAGGTTATTGTGGGTGTTTCTCTCGCTCCTCTTCTTCTATACATCAAAAACAAGCAGAACCTCAAAGGCGTGTCTCCACAGTTAAAAACAGAATGATTTCAGTAGTACTATAAAGGTATTATCCTATTTTATTTTTAAATGGACTCCTATAGAAGTTATTTTATTTATAATTTAAAGTGTAACTGTTAAAATAGTGTTATAATATTGTAAGTTTTTTCATGAGTACTTGGTGCGCCTATGGTTTATTACCTGGTCGCGTATTGACAGCTCTAAACCCCAACTGACATTGACACTTGACAGTCGGTAAACAATACAATAAGCCATAAACAAACGAAACGCAAATGCGGGCTTCCATCGAGCGTTTCTTTAATTATTTGAATCAAACATGAAACTGATATCATTAGTGAATCATATTCTCTGAAATCCATCGGTCTTGCATCATAATCGGCAGTGAAACGGCAGCACATCTTGGGCCCATTACCATTGATTTTGAGCCTGGCAAGAATCTCAAGGTAAAACAATTGAGCATCTTCCCTTCGATCATTCTTTTGTAACCATGGCAATGTGATGTTGTAGAAATAATTGAAAATGTTGCGTAAAAAGATGAAACTCACAAATGAACATGAAACTGCCAGTACTGCAAATGCTGATTTCAATGCTTATCAGTATCATCAACCAAACTATCCAAAACCACCGGCATCATTTTCTAATTTCTACTATCCATATATGCCGCCGTACGATAACGGCTTATCTTACGATGTCGGCATATCACGATTCTTCCCAATACCGCCCGGTTACATTCCGCCCGGGCAGGTTTCCATGCCTCCAGTGCCACAGGTTCCTGTCTCAGTGCCACCAGTCCCAGTGCCACAAATGCAAGTGCCACCCAGAAGTGTTGCTTCGATGATGCCGCTCCAGAGATCCATCCCGACAAGCGACAGCTTTTTGCAAATCGAGCAAACGCTCAACATGAATCTGGCGTCGCTGCAGTATCAGCACCCAGTCAGCTATGTCTATAATCCCGTTGAGTACGCCTACAATGCCCACGCGGCGTTCGTCAGGAAGTATTGCAACGTGGAGAAACGGGTGCTACTGCTCGGCATGAATCCGGGCCCACACGGTATGTGCCAGACGGGCATACCGTTCGGCAATACTGACGTGTGCAAGGAGTGGTTTAATATCGACATGCCGATCGGGCAGCCGCCGGTGGCGTGTCCCAACAAAAAAGTCGTCGGCTTCGAGTACCATCGACAGGAAATCAGCGGCAAGCGGCTGTGGACGGTCTTCAAAGATCTCTGCGGCAGCGCCGAGAACTTCTTTCGCTACTCATACATTCATAATTATTGTCCGCTTGCGTTTTTCGATGAGAAAGGGAAGAATATTACGCCTTCAGATCTGCGGGTATTTAATACTTTATTAATTGCTGTTGGTGTTCTGTTTTCTTTATTCTTTGCTCGCTTTCCTACATACACACATTCAGCCAACTTCTCAAGGGCAGGCGCATGTTCTTATTGTGTCAAAACAATTATAAAAAACTAAAACAGAGAAAAGAATTAGACGCATTGCATCTTTATTTTGGCAGCAAACTGTTTACAACTAGTTGAAACGTCGCCAAATGTTTCTGTTCCGCTCTACAACATAATCCTGCACATATTTTTAGACGTAAACAAAACATTAATGCATAATTATGGCCGATTTATTGCACAAGCATGAAATAATATGGTTATTTATATATTTATAGATGTTATTACAACCGCGCAAACATGGAATAATCAGATATGCAATCATTCCGATTCTCATTTCAGGGTCAATTCAAGAAAAACTTGGAAGAACACTGCGATCGAGCGCTCTATTCGATAATTCAGCTGCTGAAGTCGGAAATCATCATCGCGATTGGTTCCTACGCGGAGCAGCGCGTCCTCAGCTGTCTGCGTAACAACAACCCGCTGGGCACGCGGGTCGTGCGTCTACCTCACCCCAGCCCCATGGCAAAGAATAACCAGAACTGGGTCGACAAGGCACCGGGCGTGCTGCGCGACATCGGCGTCATCCAGTACTTCACCAAGTAATCACGTTCTCTCTTCGATCCTTCGAAACCTATGTATGTAAGATTAATTTTTATCCAGTACTAAGTATTTTGTGTTTCTACTGAGAAAAAAAACCAAGTCGATATATCGTTTACAAAACTACAATAATACTACTACGCGAAAAGAAGTGCAATGGCAACGAGTGATATCCCAGATAGCTCTAATTTGACACAAAACGAACAAAAATTCCTCGACTTAGCATTTAAATACGCCTACAAAGCACTGGCGGCGCAAGAGGTCCCCGTCGGTTGCATCTTCGTCTATGAGGGCGAGGTAATCGCGCTTGGCCGCAACGATGTCAACGAAACGCGCAACGCAACGCGACATGCCGAAATGATCTGTATTAATCAGGTAAACAGCTACTGCGCGGAGCGGCAGCTCGACGTTCACGAGACGCTGCGGAAGGTCAGCGTCTACGTGACGGTAGAGCCGTGCATCATGTGCGCCGCGGCTCTATTTACATTCGGTATTGAACTGGTGGTGTTCGGATGTCGTAACGATCGCTTCGGTGGGCAGACCGTCTTCGATGTGGCAGCCGTCACGCCGAACACCACCCGAGTCAAGGGTGGACATCGTGCCGACGAAGCAATGCAGCTACTTAAAGAATTCTATAAGGGGACGAATCCAAGCGCGCCTGCTTCTAAAGTTAAAGATAAGAAAATAGAGAAATAGTGGTTTATTTATTTTATATCTCGTTTTGCGTTCAAAAATAGTAGTGTATCAATATTTAGAATACAGATTTCTTTTATACAATTGTCAGTGAATATTACCTGTTGTAATCGATCCACATATCCCAATGGCAGTGATTTTATAAATGTTTCAAGTTGTTTTGGTCGCCAACGTTATGAATTTTAAACAATCAGTTAACCTTGTTATATGTTTGTAAACATTTCAGCGTTTTATCATATTGTTAAGTTAAAAAAAAAACAACTTATACAATAGCAAATCGTAAAATTTAAGCAGCAGACTAATTAAAAAGGCTTTAGGAATAATTTGTCGAAACCTATGGTCGTAATTTCGCATTTAATGAAAAGTGCGTCAAAGTGAAAGTATTAAGCGTACGCATTTCCTCCAGAAAACGCGTTTGCCGTTTAATTATGCAGCGCAAGGCACATTCGTACACGCCGTTATTATTTTTTATTTATTATTATCTCTTGCATCACATCTGATTTGCTATTCACTGAAAAGGAACCACTCGCGCGGATTTTGCGCCGTGTTTACTCCAAGAGAAGCCTTGTATGTGTGCGACGGCGTAAGAACACGGCGTAGCACACCTGATCAGAGACACGCCATTAAATCGAATGAACATTAAGCGAAATAATATGCATCCGAACGACAGGCGCATAAATATCGATATTTTTCCGCAAACGGCGGCGTTGGGATTGCGGATTCGCGCTGGAAGGAAATGTGCGCATGACTTTCTATTATATTTAACGGGTTTTGCGCTATCCGACTAGATAGACCCAACTAGACCTCTCGAGCGCAGAACAAACGTACTCGCCATCGCAGTGGAGATGTGAAGTAGTGAAGTAAACTTATCTCTTGCCGGTATATAATGTGCCACTGCTTCGCGTGTCGATGTGCTCATCATACAGCACGTTCACAATGCAAACCAAGAAACAATTGATAATTTGTCCCTATTTGTGCTTCTTTTTTTCGTGTTGCGTATGATAGCTGACCTCGTTTCCGCCTTCGGTGTGTGTTTACATTTTTTGCGGTGTGTTTATGCCGAGGACCTGCTGTATATCCATGATAAATATAAATTTAAACAAACACGAATCCACAAACTCGCACTACACACGTTCTGCGTGTACGCTTCGGATTTGAATACCTCTGCATGACAATATTCATTGTTGTGCGGCGTGAAATGTTCGGTGCGCAAAACACGTCGAATTGTTTATCGCTCGTAATTATTTTCGCGACTGTGTCGCGCTTCACATAGCTCAGTTGCCATAATCGTTCCGAGTTTATTTTCAGCATGCTGAATGCCGTAATACGCTCACTTTATTCAAGTAAATCATTTATTGGTTCCGCGATTATGCTTATCGCACTATATAAAATTATTAACGATTCTGAGCAAAGCCTTTCTTTATGGACAAAACAAAGAATTGATTATTTCAGTGTGTTATAAAGTCGCATCACTGTGCTCGAAAGCCCAACCACGGCGAATGATGCTCAAAAAAGAATAAACAACAAGCGTAAAAATAAAATCTTTGAGTGGATGCGATTTTGCGTCGATCAACGCGATCATTGCACGCTATTGTTCCGGACCGAAAACCGGCTCTATCTCTCCTCTATTTACGGCATAAATTAAATTTAGTGCCCTAGAAATATCCGCGGCGCAGATAGGACAACCAGCGTCGCGACCAGCCGCGGAGTGAGAAGTTGCTGCGGCTGAACAAGTTGGGTGTATAATAAACACTCAGCCAACGAAGGTGTATACTGCGCGATGCGTGAATCTGCACACTTCTTGCTCGCACAGGTTCAGCCGAGTATAGTGGCGCAACCAAAAAGCGATTTATTTCTCGGCATTGCCAGCCACACCAAATCGAAAACAAGTTTTTCAATTTATGACTATTTTTCTACGCAAAGGCGAAACCTTTGTGTGCTTGGTTTGTTTCGATCACACTCGGGCGCAAGGAGTCGATCCAAGTCAGAAAAATGTTACACAGGCTTGGACTCATCCAGCCGCATCACTGGTCGTCCTTTGTTTGTTATCAACTAGAAAAGCATGATGCGAAGCGCGCGACAACCGCGGCGATAGCGCGTTTTAGGTTGTTTAAGCAAGTCAAAGCGTCAAATTAAAGTGAAGCCGCTCGGGTTGTACATTATCGCTCATTAATGCATCGCCTGCAACGGAGTGCATCGCAACCCCCTTTTTTGTGCTACAGTTCCGCTTATGGCCGAGCGCCGTGCGCGAGTGGTAATGCCATATTGGGTAGGGCCTATTTTGCCCTCTCTCCGTATCACATGGAAGGGATTGCAGCAGTACCACCACCAGCAAGCGAATCCACATTTCCACAGCGCGTTTTTAGTAGATACACGACAGCGTAGCTTGTCGGTGTGTTTTATAGATCTACGCTCGAGCCAGAGCATAAATACACACGCGTATAATCATCGCAGTGTGCTTGAGTGTGCCGCGGTTACAGCGCCTCTGGAGGCAAATCGAAAAACTAACGAACAAAAATGGCAGCGTCTGTCGGGTCGTGTTCATATGTCCTCGGTCAGCGGTGCAGAAGGCTGCCCGATAAGGTACTCTAAATAAGTGCTCAGTACGAAGGTATATATGAAAGAAAGTGCATGTGTGAAAATTGGCATGATGTGTGAAGAAATCGCGATACAAAACGGCGATCTAAATTTGGCCGTCGCGCTGCCCCTCATTCAAGATGACGTCGTCGGCCGCGATGACAGCGATGCGCGCGCAGCCGTTCAGCTCGAAGCGGACATCATCGTGCAGCCGAAGAAATCCGATTCGGAGGTGCCGTCGAAGAAACGCAAGACGCGTCGCGGGAAATCCAAACGCCATCGCAACGTTCACCCCTATCGAAAAAACAACGATAAACTTCTCACGAAGATGATCAAAGCCGAAGCCCCCTATAACAGCAATCGCTTCCTCATCGAGGATCACGGTGACCTCGAATCAATCGACGAAGAATTGAAGAAGACAGATCAAGCGTCTACGTCGACGGTTACTAGAACACGCGACTCCAGCTTCAGTATGGATTCGGATGGTGAGTTCTACTCGACCCCCGATGACGAAGAAGTTTTTCTCATCAAAGACTTTGACGATCAGTACGAGAGTCTGCAAGCAGAGCGACTGCAGGGTATGTCTAAGGACGAACTTATCAAAGAGTATCTCATGCTCGAGGGCAAAGTGGAGCTGCTTACAAAGCGCCTGCGAACCAAACCCTTAAACGCAAGTGATCCCAGTGACTTGCGCGCTAAGTGCGAAGTGCAAAAGGAAATTCAGCGTCTAACTATTGAGAATGAGTCGCTCAAGAGGGAGAACGACAGTTTGCGATCAAAAGTCGAGTCTAGTTCGGACTCGGCCGACTCTGAAACGGATTCCAGTGATACATGCAGTTCGAGTTCGAGTAGCCTCAGTCGTTGCGAATCTCCTGTTAATAACGTTAATTCCTTTGAAGGAATTAGCAGTGCCGAGAAGGGATTGTCAAAGTGTTGAGTGTAAAACAAGAACAAGCAGTTTAAAGCATTACAAACACAATAGGTGTTCCGAGAAACTTCCACCTAACTTACAAAGCTTTTTCTTTCACAGTCATTTTTTGAGTGATTTTTTTGACAACTTTGTCCGTAGATACGAAAATGCGACTCTTGAACAAACATTGCGTTTTTTTCTGGGACAGCTAATGTACTACTTTACTTAACTAACACTACGAATAATGAGAAATTGCCAAAATAATCGATAGATAACATAAGCAAAGCTTCATACAAAACGAGCGATTTGTATGAAGCATGTGATGATTGAAAGTAAATTTTCAAGTGATATTTATTACGTTTAAAAATGAATCAAAATTCTGTGACATATATTTATATAAAAAAAAATGTAAAAAATCGATAAAAATGTGTTTATATCCAATATTTTGGCAACAAGAGTGTTGAAAACTGTTTGAAATTGTGATTAATATTGGCAGAAAAGAATTTGTAAAGCATGTGAAGTTTAATTTTGTTCATTTCTTTGTAAATATTAGCGATCAATGCATTGTTGTTGATGCATTTGAATATTTCTTAGAGAACATGGAATTTGAAGTACAATTATAATTTTAGTATGGTGTCCGTTCGGCCCACGCACCTCTATTTGCGTGCGAGCATAACTTGCATTTGCATTATTTCGAGTAATTGCGCATGTCAGGCGAATCGAATTGATGACATGTACGTTTTTCTTTTTGTAAAAGTGTTTTTTCTTTGCGTTATCAGACGTTACATTGTAAGTTGCTTATATTAGTGACCAGGTCTGTTGTATCACATTATTATATTGCTGTTTTAATTTATGACGATGATACAAATGATTGTAAAGAATAAAAAAGTAGTTGAACATGATATGTTGTGGTTTATTTTCCTATCTACTACCTATTTGCATTTTTAGCGTGGAAACAAACTGAATGTATTTTATTTATTGTAACAAGTATTTTAATAGCCTACATTCTTTTGAAACGTTTACTTTCGTCATCGATGCGCAATCGGATGACATGAAAAACAAATATTTTTTAATGCTGCAATGTTTCGCCCACCTGCTCAGTAACTTAACTTTTACGGCCTCTTTTTTTCAACCGAAACCGACACTCAATTCGTTATTATTAATATTGATTATTTATAATCATTAATCTTTATCATAGTAATAAAAAATTCAACTTATTGTTTTCTTACATAAATTATCTTTTATGTAATTACATAGTTAATTTCAACAGAAAAATTGCTATTTTTTCAAGTTCTGGTTATATTTAATTTTAAAAGAATGTGATTGTGCTCTTAAATTTATGAAATTTGCTGAATTTCACATTTATTCCATTAAATAATACTGGTAATCGTTACTTTCAGTAAATATTGTTTGCCAAATGAGTAATTTTCGCTAAAATTGGAATTATTAAACCCGATGCTGTTGTCCCCGTACGAGTTAACGTGTGTCAGTTCGAGCTGTGCTTCTGACGTTTCTTTGCAGTAAAAGTGGGGGAGATCAAGTCCACGGACATTTCCCTGTTGGCATCGGTTTTTATGCACTGTATCAAAGTAGTGTGTAAAATGTTTATAATTAATTCAATAAATTAAAAGTGAATACGTATATCTTGAAGTACTTAACACATCACAATGGCTAGTTCATTGGATCCCAATGTGGAAAGTATTAAACAGCTGACAACTCAATTGAACATTGCTAGGAATGAAATAAACAACTTGAGGTAAACCATAATTCATATCATTTATAAACTATTAGTCTGGTAGATTATTAATTAATATAAATATTTGTAATTGTAGACAGCAAATTAAAGTACTTACACATGTCAATCGAAAGGATTATGAAGCAGTGCAGCAAAAGTTACAAGATTGGAAATGTTCTGCTTGTTCAAATGAGCAAAACACCAATGGGCCACTGCTACAATCAACAAGTTCTGATTTACCACTGAATTATATTGGGAAGATACATACACAGTTTCCTGAAAAGCGGGCAACACCGCGTCAGACTGGAATTTGCACACAACTGCAAGCAAAACTTACACTGAACAATTCAGTGTTAACCAACCCAGAACATGCTTTACAAGGATTGGAGGAATTTTCTCATATGTGGTATGTTCAAATTAAACCACATATTATGTTTATTATGATGTGTTTAAATGTCTAATGAAATATATTTTCAAGGGTAATATTTCATTTTCATCAAAATGAATCCACTCATGTGAGAGCGAAGGTGGCACCACCTAGATTAAATGGAAGAAGAACAGGGGTATTTGCTACAAGATCACCACACAGACCTTGTCCTATTGGATTGTCATTAGTTAAAATTGATAGAATTGTAGATAATGCAATTTACTTTTCTGGAGTTGACATGATAGACCAAACACCAGTGTTAGATATAAAGCCATATATTCCACAATATGACAGCCCATCAATGAATGCACAAGCACAAGTGGTTTTAGATAATTCTGGTCTGTCTGATTACTTGCTTGATGATGAGACAAGTGCGTCAGATATTAGTGAGGGCATTGATAACTTAAATGTGCGCATCATGGATGGAGAGGAATTTGGCAATGATTCAACTTTGTTGCAAGAACGTGCAACTACACACACTGATTTGGAAGCAATGCATGGTAGAGCATCACGCATTGGTGAAAGAGAAGCTCCTGATGGAGAGGAGAACGAAGAGGCTCAACGACCGATTACCACAAGCCGGTCTTCCGAGAATATAGTTAGAATTCCGACTTGGATAGACGATCAACACACTCATCAATTAGCTGTATACTTTAAGGATTCAGCAATACAACAGCTTATACAATTTGGTGAGGCAGAAGCTGATGAAAAATTACAAACGATTAATACTGTTCTTAAAGAGGATCCACGATCGGTTTACTTAAGGCATAGACTTGGCACGAATTGTTATGTATTCCGCATTGCGATGCTTTATGTGTTTTGTAAGTTTAATGATGTTGAGAGGTCTGTCACTGTTTTTAAGGTTTCCCAAAGTGCAGAAGATGTTTAGCTACTTTAATCTTAGTACTATGAAATGAAATTTATTTATTACGAAATGAAGCAGTGAAGGTGACTATATAGTATATCTAATAATACTGTGTTAGATTAAACGAATATGATTGAAAGTCCGTATGCATTGTATCCTACTTTCATTTGATTTGATTTATTTATTTATTTTTATGGTTGTTCTTTTTCAATAAGTTATTACAGATATTTGCACGTTCTTAAATATAAACTCTGCTCATACTGGTTTGATCATGAGTTCCTTGGGTGCAAATAGTTATAGGTCGTGCAGAAGCTGTTGTTTAGTACTTTTGAAGATGTTTAAGATGCGCGCGCATAGCTGTACATATCGTCAGGAAGCGCTCCTTATGCACACCGCAGGCGCGCAAGCCTCAGTTGAGTCCGCATCTATTGCGCGTTGGTTTAGGTTTGCAATCTAATGAATTTGTTATTTTGCATTGACTATTTACATTGAGAAGTATATCATCAAAGAGCCGCCAATTAAATAGTCAATTCATATAACGTTTTAAATTTGAACATAAAGTTTGATTCCCCAATACCTACCTATATATAAAACACAATTTAATCGTACGTTCTATTCATTGTAATTTTACAGTTACATTTTACTTGATTTTCTAAATTATTTTATTGTACAGCATGATTTGAGTTTGTATTAATGCTCATATTTATCCCTGGTATTTCGGCGTTTTCCGATTTAGCTTTAAATTAATTACTTACTTTTTTAATCATTTTCCTAAATAACTTTTGTGATTATCTCACAAATTGACCCCCAAAATTGCATTTATTTGTTCAAAGGACTAATTTTTGCTTTTTTAGCGATTTTGCACCTGAGTCTGACATCGTAGAAGGACCATTCTTGCAATAGATTGTAAGTATTTAATATCATTATAATTTTCCTAAATAAGTTTTGTGATTATCTCACAAATTGACCACCAAAATTGCATTTTTATATTTGAAGGACTAATTTTACCTTGTTTCTTGGATTATTGCACCTGAACCTGACATCGTAGAATGACCATTCTTGCATCAGATTGTAAGTATATAATATTTTTATTATTTTCTTCAATAACTTTTGTGATTATCTCACAAATTGACCCCCAAAATTGCATTTATTTGTTCAAAGGACTAATTTTTGCTTTTTTAGCGATTTTGCACCTGAGTCTGACATCGTAGAAGGACCATTCTTGCAATAGATTGTAAGTATTTAATATCATTATAATTTTCCTAAATAAGTTTTGTGATTATCTCACAAATTGACCACCAAAATTGCATTTTTATATTTGAAGGACTAATTTTACCTTGTTTTTTGGATTATTGCACCTGAACCTGACATCGTAGAATGACCATTCTTGCATCAGATTGTAAGTATATAATATTTTTATTATTTTCTTCAATAACTTTTGTGATTATCTCACAAATTGACCCCTAAAATAGCATTTATATGTTCGAAGGACTAATTTTAGCTTGTTTTAGGGATTTTGCACCTGAGTCTGACATCGTAGAAGGACCATTCTTGCAATAGATTGTAAGTATTTAATTTCATTATCATTTTCCTGAATAATTTTTATGATTATCTCACAAATTGCCCCTCAAAATTGCATTTATATGTTCGAAGGGCTAATTTTTGCTTGTTTTAGGGATATTGCATATGAGTCTGACATCGTAGGATAACCATTCTTGCATCAGATTATAAGTATTTAATTACTTTATCGTTTTCGTAATTAATTTTTGTGATTAGCCCATGAATTAGTGACGAAAATTGCATTTTTGTGTTACAAAGGACTACTTTTAACTTGTTTTAGGTGTTCTGTACCCGAAGTCGACATCGTAGCAGAACCATTCTTGCATCAGATTGTAAGTGTTTGATTTCTTTGTCGTTTTCATAACTAATTTTTGTGATTAGCTCCTGAATTATTGACGAAAATTGCATTTTTGTGTTGCAAAGGACTACTTTTCGCTTGTTTTAGATGTTCTGCACCCGAAGTCGACATCGTAGCAGAATCATTCTTACTTCAGATTGTAAGTATTTAATTTCTTTATCATTTTCAAACATAACTTTTGTGATTAGCTCATGAATTAGTGACAAAAATTACATTTCTGTGTTGCAAAGGACTACTTTTTGCTTGTTTTAGGTGTTCTGCACCCGAGCCCGATATCGTGGGAGAACCATTCTTGTTCATACATAACTTTTATGAATAACTTATGAATTACGTATTTCGTACGTTATGCCGATAACTTGTAACTGTTTGTTTACATCACGAAGTGTTTACATTTAGTCATTTCGAATAGTTTTTGGCTTATATATAACATGGATTGTGTTTTATTAATTTTCGTTCAAGTGAGTGAGATAGAAATACCAGGATGAGGTGACAGTAGGTGAGTCAGAATAAGAGAGCAATTTAATATAATATAATAAGTTTCATGTTCAATCCATGTTCTTTATATGATCTGCAGAATTTTCTACACTTTGTTTATGCGTTTAGTATGACCTTGGCTTGCGCAGCACACTGTGAGCTGCCATTTGAAATTTGAACAGTACCGCACCGGTCGCAGTGTGTCGTCGTCTTCAGTGACAATTCGCTATATTGCTGGTAGAACGGGCCGGTTAAGTGTACGGCACGTACTTAATACTACTCTGCAGACTTGCACATAACAATAAAGCCGACCCTGCACGCATGAAACACTACCGGAACATCCTGTATATAACCTTGAAACATAAAAGACACTACGAGTCCGACGGCTGTGCCAGCACCACAATTTCTTTATTTTATTTAAAAAAATATTTTTTCTATTAAATAAAAAGTAGCCTATAACCATTTGGGGACCACTAAGAATATGTGTACAAATTTTCATGATGATCGGTTAGGTAGTTTTTGCATGAAAGTGTAACAAACATCAGGACTTTCGCATTTATAATATTAGTAGGGATGGACTCGAGATTTAAGACACCACTTGCGCGAGTGTAAGCCATCAGCCTATAAGAGAAATTGAAATACAAGTGAAGGCAATAAGAGAAGTAAGAAAGTAAGTAAGTGGAGAAACGAGAACATAGAAGAAATAGAAGAAGGAGTAGTAAAGAATAGGAGGATAAGAAGGAAGACAACAGAGAAAGAGAAGAGGAGGAGATAGAAAAAAGAGAAACAGGAGAGGATCAGATTTTTAAATTTTTTGTGTGTATGTATGTCGTTAGACAGTCACAGGTCAAAGGCCCACTGCTTAGATGCGTCCATTGCTCCCGGCCCATCCTACAGCTAGTTCTCTCTGCGCTTCATCCCCAAGATTCTCAGACATATCAACAATTTTTATGGTGGGGGATCATCTCCAGAGAAAGGGACCTCCTTATAAGGACAATCCTTCTAAGGACTTAATTTCTTTATCATTTTCCTAAGTTACTTTTGTGATTATCTCACAAATTGACCCCCAAAATTGCATTTTTATGTTCGAAGGACTAATTTTTGCCGGTTTTACTGATTTTGCACCTGAGTCTGACACCGTACAAGGACCATTTTTGCATCAGATTGGAAGTGTTTAATTTCTTTATCATTTTCCAAAATAACTTTTGTGATTATCTTACAAATTGACCCCCAAAATTGCATTTTTATTTTCGAAGGACTAATTTTTGCCGGTTTTAGTGATTTTGCACCTGAGTCTGACACCGTACAAGGACCATTCTTGCATCAGATTATAATTATTTAATTTCTTTATCATTTTCCAAAATAACTTTTGTGATTATCTCACAAATTGACCCCCAAAATTGCATTTTTATGTTCGAAGGACTAATTTTTGCCGGTTTTAGTGATTTTTCACCTGAGTCTGACACCGCAGAAGGACCATTCTTACTTCAGATTGTGAGTATTTAATTTCTTTATTATTTTCCTAAATAACTTTTGTGATTATCTCACAAATTGTCCTCCAAAATTGCATTTTTATGTTCGAAGGACTAATTTTTGCCTGTTTTAGTGATTCTGCACCTGAGTCTGACACCGCAGAAGGACCATTCTTACATCAGATTGTGAGTATTTAATTTCTTTATTATTTTCCTAAATAACTTTTGTGATTATCTCACAAATTGTCCTCCAAAATTGCAATAATATTTATTTTGTGATACCTATTTTAACTTTGCGAAACTACTACTGGTAGGATAGAATTTTTAATTTATTTTTAAAATGTATGACAAACAAGCAAGTTGAAATGATATACTTGATTATTTAGGATTATTGGAACATAAGCAGAGCGTTACTCAAATCAAATTGAATGAATCAAAAGTAATAAATACTACCCTGATGCTTTTAATTTTGTTTTGTGTCTGCTATGCTGCTTGTGTCGGGTCAGTGCGTCAGTTTTCTTGCTGTAGGTAGGTTAGTACTGGTAGGGGCTATCTTCTTTGTTTACGCCTGATATCAATTCTCTTTGCCGTTTAGTCGATCGCGCGCTGTGCTACGATTAACACGTGTTTTGTTCGTCAGTCGATCTGCGTAGCGACTTTTCGCGTGTCTTACTTTAATTCTGTAATTGCCTTCATTGGCCTTTCGTAACAGGCTAATGTGGCACAACCCCAATTAATCATCGGTTCGGTTCGCTTGTTACGTCGGCCGTCGCTAAGTACGAGTATTATTCGGTTGTGGCATAATCTACAACCGAGTTGGTCTTTATGTGCGCCGCGTGTGTGTTTATCGGCAGTCGTTTATCTTCTCGCATATTGGCAAAACTAGGATTTATTATTAATTCCTGCTGATAGACAACGTTGGTGTCCAGTTCTTGAGTATGGGAGCCATGGAATCTGCGATATCCATAAAAGAAGTATTTGAGATGCGCACATTTTAAGTTAAGTCTTTATTGCTACGTGATTTGAAATTCGTCAATGTTTTTTTTTATTTGAATGACAAATGTATTTTAAATGTTGTCAATAAAACACATTGTAATGTTATAAACTAATTCTTAGTTCTTTGTGGCATCCCCTTTGTTGTTTTCAGTATCGGTGTCTTAAATCATATAGTATATAAATCTTACGTGCGTGAAGCGTGTACAATGCATTGCTGTTGCTGGAATGGTATTGTTGTTTTTAAAAACATGATAAAAACAGAAACATATATAGAAGAAT